TCCAGCACAGAAATTCCAGTAAAGAAAAAGCCAAGTCATAGAGTGGTAGAGAAAATTTGCGAAACATTCATTAGAAATAAGGCCCTCTATCAAATATATATAAAGAATTCTACAATTCAATGACACATCATCCTAATAAAAAACATGGACAAAATATCAGAACAAATACTTCGCCAAAAAAAAAAAAAAATATATATATATATATATATATACATAGGCAAGTATCAAAAAAAGCACATGAAAAGATATTCAAAATATCATTAGTCATTAGAAAAATGCAAACAAAAGCAATGATTTATAACAACATACGTACCACAAGATAGCTGAAATATTTAAAATTGACAAATGCAAGTGTAAACAAGGATACAGAGAACTTACGTCTCTTATACACTGCTAGTGGGAATACAAAAAGGCACAGTCATTCCATAAGGTTAGCAATTTCTTATAAAATGAAACATATAGTTATGATAAAACTCAGCAGTTGCACTGCTAATTATTTACCCAAGAAAAATAAAAACATGTTCACAAAAAGGTGTATGTGAATATACACAGAAGCAATATTTATAAAAGTCAAAAAATTGGGCAAACCCAAATGACCATCAGCTTCTATATAAACTATGGTATAGCTGTACATACATACTCAGCATCTAAAATGATTACTTAGCAATAAAATGAAAATCATAGTCAGCAATAAAATCAAACTACTAAGCCATATAACATGGGTGAATTTCAGAGCATTAAGGTAAGGCAGCCAGATACAAAAGATCACTTACAGCAGGATTCCACACAGAGTTCTAGAAGACAAGACCATTGTAAGAATAAGATGAGAGGCTTAAAGGGTCAGAGGAGAGAAAAGACTGACTGAACATGGGCACAGGAAAGTTTTTTAAGTAATGAACTAGGCTCTACAGCACAACTACAATCACAGTTCAAACATCAGTTAAAACTCATCAATTATATACTTAAAACTGGTCAATTTTATTGCAGGTAATTAATAATCCAATAGAACAGATATTTATTCCATAAAATGATATACAACAAAAGAACCCTAACTAGCTAAACTAATACAAATTTGCAGGTATCTATACTTTCACATTTTGATATCAAACCTCAGAGAATCTTAGTCAAAATCATAAATATAACTTAACCTCAGATTGTGAAAATAGTGAATAAATTCACCAGAGGCTCCCACATATCTATCCATGTCATGACATCTATATCTATGTGAACAATACACATAACATTCAACAAAGCATGTTGACAATTTTAGTGATAAGTTTTCAGTCAGAACACAATTTACTAGAATTCAAAAGCAGAAGCAAAACTACCCTTACTTTTAAAAAAAAAAAACCCACACTAGTATAATTCAATGAAACACTCAATTTAGAGTTCTAGATACAGAACAATTACTAAGAATTGTTTATAACCTATTTGAGGAATTTCAAAGAAAAAAATCCTCAGTCTCAGTAATTTCTCATAAAATTGCATTTCAAAAATTTTATGGTTACAATAAATGTCCTTTGCTACTTAATGTTAAAACACTAAAAAAAATAAAAATAAAAATAAGCCTATGTCTAAGGTTATTTGTTTATACCCTAGTCAAACCAAACTTTCATAATTCCAATACAGGTAATATATTAAAATTCTGCCTATCTAAATGTTTTGAAATAGTTGAATTATTTCAGCTTTCCTCTATGTGCATATATGTGGGGGAGAGAGAAAGAGAGAGAGAGAGAGAAACAAGGCAAATAATTTAAGGGAATAAACAAATCATTTCTAGAAATATTCGGGCCAATCTTTTATATAAAATCTAGTAGCCAGTGTTTTGCAATGAGCTTTGACTACCAACATGATAGTTCTCTCAGAATTGTAAGAGAAGTACAGGCAATCCATTAACCCAGAGTGGTGTTCTAATCTACAAAACAGAATATACAACAGTGAGTGCAAACCTGGACTCAAGAGTATGGCATGGTATTTGAACACATAAATGTACAGGACTGCTGTCTACAGTGATGATAATCATATTTTTTTTTACCTGCATCTAGATATTACTGTGGATAGCAATGAGAAGTTCACTGAAATACATTATATATATAAAATCAGAGCAGTATTTTGATATAATACATCTTTTCAATCAACATAGGACCACTTTGATGTGTAACTGCATAAAATTTTAGAACTTACAAAGGAGTCCTCATACTCCAAAAGGACTAGAAGCCTTTGCAATAAAGAAAATCCTGGTCTAGGAGTCAGAAGTAGATCCAGCGAAGCTGCCACCTTTCACCAGGTCGTTAACCTCACAGGAATTCTATATAATAAATGTGTCTGAATTGTTCCACAAGGTCTCTTTTTATTCTAAAACTTGTTCTGCCAAATGCTGTAACAATAATTTAGAACACTTAAGCTTTTTATTTTTGGAAACAAGCAAGATACCACTGGAATACAGATGTACAAAGAAACCTTTGTGGGGAAAGAAGGAGAAGAGAGAAAATGAGTAACTTTATGAAGCTGGATCAGCTACAAGAAAAATCAATAAATGAGTACAAGGGGTTTTTGAGGACTTTCTTTCTGAAGATCACCACTTCAGAAGAGAAATTAAGGTTCTAATTATGTGAATGCTATCTAATAAATGAGGCCTAATAAAAACAGATTTTTATACTAATACAGTTTATGATAAGCCTAAATATTATTTAACTATGTAGAGAACTTATTTATATGGAATTAAACTTAATGTGTACACACTAATAAAGACACACTAGACTATTTCAAACATATATAATAAAAGAACTTCAGAGAAATTCAAAGAATGGCTCCATTATGTACTCGAAGTTACTTAAATAATTTGTCCCACCTTTTCTGTTACTCAAACATTGATCTTTTTCTTTGACAAAACAGAGAGTTAAAATGTAGAACTCTCCTGATAAAATTTTTGTTGACCCTTGAAATTATTTAATCTTTCAAAAGATCAAAAGAAATCTGATATATTACTCAACATGCTTCCCAAAAGCAATCTATAAAAGATAGCTGTAAACTGTACTAAAGTATTAGATTCTTTTTCAAAGAATGCTTGAAGATGCAAAAACAGTGGGCAGCAAAGAAACAAATACAATGAAAAGAATTCTATCAGCGGGCCTCCCCGGTGGCGCAGCGGTTGAGTGCTGGGTTGCGAAGCTGCCAGCAACCTCTGCAGTGCCAGTTCGATCCCCGGGGCTGCTCCCCGGCCACCAGAGGAGGGTCCCACATGGCGCGCAGGCCCCTTCTGCCGCCCGCTGCTCCCCTCAGCAGTGTACTTTGGTCCTTCTGCCTGCTCTGCTCCCCGCTCTGGCCCTGGTGAATTCTCTCACCCTCCCGCGCTTCTGACTTACCCAGTGCTTGTATAAATAAGTAAATAATAAATAAATCTTTAGAAAAAAAAAAAAAAAAAGAATTCTATCAGCAATCATAGCACTATAATCACAAAACCTGTTACTACAAGACAGTAAAGCTAGTATGCTGAAGGGTTATTCTGCCCTCACAATATCACTGTTACTCCTCAAACATTCATATCATTCCTTAATTATTATTCATAATCAAACATTCATAATATTCCTTAAAAGGCCCTCAAGCTGCTCTATAGCTCCCCAATAAGCCTCTCAATGACCCTCAAGAGGACCTAAGTGCTGTGACCTCACAGCCATCATTCACCTGGTCCCACAGTCATAGATAAAAGAATCTTAATTCTCTCAGTAAGAGCTTTTCAAATTATTTAAGAAAATAACAAATTTTAACATATGTAAAGGGTTTATAGAAGCTATTAAAGAGTTATGAATTACTGACTACTGCACTGTGCTTTCCATATACTGCCACACAGAAGCCTCCAACAACCCTACCAAATGGATAGCATTACTCAGCTGTGACAGATGAAAAAGGAGATGCTGCACTAGCATAATTTAGTCCCCTAGACAGCAACAGCAATAACCTGCACATTTTGATAACTAAACTGAAGTTAAAACTAGTCCTTTTAGGTATGCTACATTATGTCAAAAGTCAAAATACCATAAAATTCTATTATATTTCAAGGTAGAAGTCACAAAGTTTTGAAGGTTGAAAAACTGAAGGCCCTTAAGAATGATCTGAAGAATATTTAACCATTATTAAGACATCGCTAAAGCAATCTGTCTAGAAATAACTTTTCATGTGCTTATTAACATTGTCGCGGTTATATGCTAAACATTCTATAAATACTGATATATATATACTATCATAATAAATATACAGAATAAACTGCTATATATATTATTAAATATTTGACTACCTCAAGTGAATTATCCCATTTTTTACTTTTACTGAAAAAAAAAAGTTATGTTCCAGTCAACTTCCACTTTCATCAGCTTAGTAGTTAATTACTAATGATACTACATTATGATACTACATTATCATTACTATGGCTCTTAAGCATCAGTATTTCTAACTATTGAAACAGACTCAAACGCATAGCCTAGAAATACAAATACGGAAAATGCAATTCAGCTTAATCTTTAAGCTTTCAATAATATTATAAAAATGGGGGGTAAAGTATGTCTTTTGCTGCTGTAGACACCAATTAAAAAACCCAATCAGTGGACATATACTTAGAAGGCACTACTTCAAACATCAACTTTCACAGCAAGTATCCACACTTAATGCACGGGGCAGCTATTGGGCTATAGTAAATACAGAACACACTGCAATGAGAAGGAGATCCAAGTTTTTCTGCCCACCTGATCTTTCATAAATATTATTTACATACTGCAAACAAATATTTTAATGGCTTGAATTATTTTTTTAACTTCGAAAACAAGTCACACATTGTAAAAATTTCTAATATTGACAAAACTTTTTTCTTGGAAAACAATAAAAACAGACTGAGAGAAATTGCTGGTAATAGAATTCAAACCACAGAACACTTTACTGGAAAATGGACAATTACTAAAGAAAAATCATACTACTGTTTACTTTCATAATAAAATGCATTTATATACCTGCACAGAATATCCCTGGGACTTCACTCCTGACTATTATGGTCCGCACTTTCTTATCAGATTTTAAAGCATCCACAGATTTTGATAGCTAAATAGAAACAGGGAGAATAAAGAGAAACAGGGTGAAAAGTCATTTCAAGTTCATGTCAAAATGTCATCTTAATGTTAGAAGCCAAAAATTTAATCCTTATACTCACCATTTTTATGAGATTTTTACTGATAGAATTTTTGGCATAAGCTCTGTTTATTCCAAGCACCACAATTCCTAGTTAAGAGGAAAAAAAGCACAAGCACTTGAGTTAGTGAGGTGTCGGGGCACAGGCTCACACACACAGTTGTTCAACTGGAGACTCTCTGCCTCCTCACTGCAAGGCGCTTATCCTTATCTTTGTGTTTAGCTTTCTTTTCAAGATAAGTACATTTTTCAAGACTGTGGTATTTGTAACATATTTATAAAATCAACCCTGTGCTTTATATTCACTGTTTTTCTTCAGTCTTTTCTTAGAAAAGAACTTGATGACATCACGTCCCCTTCAATTTATCTCTTCCAAATCATCATACCAAAGTTATCTGCCACATGTAACTAAATTGTACCTCACTAAGTCATGACTTAGAGGGAGGCCATGCTTATGACGGAAAATTCTCACTATTAGAATACTACTTAAAATATGGTTGCATCACCTTCAACTATACATAGAAAAGCTAACAAAACCTTGTCACTGACAAGTAATGCAGGTTCAGCTGTTTTGTATACCAGGTGTTAACATCTCATTTATTCTGTCACCCTACGTGGTTTTCAATATTTCCATCTGAGGTTTCACTCATGACTTCTTTCCCATACACATCACCTGAAAGCACTTCCATTTAGAAGTCCAACAGGCAAGTCAAACTCAATCCACAGAAACAAAGCTCATTCTCTCTCCCACTTTGCCCATCTCTGCCTCCAAACTCCTCTAATTTTATCAGATATCATCATCTAACCACAGCCTCCCATTCCAACCACTGCAGCCAGATCAATTTTCCGAAAACGATTCTATACACAGAATTCAGTCCTCCTTAAAATTCTTTAATTAGTTCTAAAATATCTGAGTTCAAAGACTTTGATATTCAGTCCCACACAACGTTCTTGTCCCAAGTAAGCACAAATTGCTTTTCACCTGGTTGGGGATGGTATGGAGGTGGACAGTCATTATTTACAATAGGGTTAAACTGAAGACAACACCATGTAAACATGTCTTCTCTGGGGCGGGGGGAGGGAATGTGAAAACCCATTTTCAAAGATGAACTTCACCTCTGAGTAGAATAAATTTACAAAGATCCCAAATTATCTCAGTATAGAGAAAACTATGAAGAAAAACTGGTACCTAGCAGGCTCAACATTAAGTACCTGAATGACCTTGGGTAGGTCCCAATACTAATGACAACAGCTACCACTAATGGAGCACTTTAGTATGTGCCAGACATTGTTCCCAGCGCTTTGTTTATTAACTTATAAAATCCCCACAACAACCCAAAAGGTAGGTAGTATTTTTATCCTTCTTGAAGACATTGGGGCTTGGAAAGGTTAAGTAACTACCTTTAGCTAGTAAATAGCAATCTAAATCCACATTTGAATGAATGACTTTCCCACATTGTTCAAGCTTCAGTTTCCTCATGAAGAAAACCAAAGGGCTGAAACTAGATGTGTTCATTCTAATATACTGAACACACATTATAGTGCTCAGTCCTCAAGGAACAGCAATAGGAAGGGAAATCAAATGAACCAAATCAAACACTGTATAATCCAAAATGCTTTTCACGCTACAAATGATAGTACAGTAACTTGTAACCATGAAATGGTCTGGTGCAAGATGGGATAGTAAAGGAAAGCTTATCCAAGCTTATCAATTTGAGTTGAGATTAGAAAGATGAGTAAAGGTGGGGGTGGGAATGGGGTGGGGGTGGGGAAAGGATGGCTGAATTTCAGGCAGGAGCAATACAGGACAAAGCATAAATAGTAAAGGCCTCCATTAAAGGTCACATCACTCAGGAAGAGAAGAGAGAGATCAACAAGAGGAGAGGTCAGCATTAGCCACATAAAGTTGGTGAGGCAGATAATTATGGGCCCTGTTAAGAATAAGGAGTAACCAGTAAAAGTGTTTCTAAGTGAGTATAAACACACACATATTAACAAGCAAGGAAAATGTTATTTCTGTATTTGGAGATGATACCAAAATTATATCGGCTAGAAGTTTCAAGGTACAAGCTGCCATTCAGTCAAGAGATAAAAGGTCTAATTAAGGTTAGTAGATCTAGACAAGAAGGAAGTGAAGAATTCCAGATCTATTTGACAAGTAAAACTTTAATAAAATAGTAACAGAACAGAGAACTAGAAGGAGTCATGAGAAGTGTCTACTAGGTGTTTTGCTTCAGCTATTGGAAGAAATAGATGACACTGAATTGTAACAGGGTGGTCCCCAGGAAAGGGGGAGGTTCCCTGCCCCACCCAAGGGAGGGTGGAGCTGAGCAGGGAGAGGAGAAGCTGCAGAAGAGATTGAGGAAGGAAGCAGGATGGAGCCAGAAGGAGACCTGGAGGAGGCACATGGAGCCTAGAGACACGTGAAGAAACTGCGCTTGTCTTTTGGTCATGGACTGGGTGACACAGATGTGGGTGAGACCCATGGGGAGGTGAAAATGGCAGCTTTTATCTTGATGTTGATTTTGCTCTTTTCCTTCCAGGCTTGTCTGGTTGTTTCTGACCCTTTTCTGTGGGTCCCCACTGGAAGATGCTTTAGATTTGTGGCAGGTTTTGGGGCCTTGTTCTGGGCCGATCCCATATGGATGGACTTTTACCCACGAGGGGATGGGTAACTTTGGGTGCTTCATTTAGAAACTAGACTCTTTGCCTTACCTGTATTGTTTCCTAGTTTTATTAAAGTTCCTTCCCATTAAAGTCTCATATGTTTTGTGTTGATGCGGCGGATGGCAGAACCCATTTAGAATAGGCAAGTTTGCGGGGTTTGGGCTGCCCCTCTCCCTGTCCTATAACAGACTGACACAGAACTATTAAAGATAACAGGAATGTGAGGGTTTGGTTTTGAATTAAAGTAAATCTGGACTGCCTCTGAGACATCCAAGCTGATCACTTCTGAGACCAGAGTCTGAGGTCTGAATGCTGGGGCTAAAATCCCAATCTGCCCCTTTACTTGTTGGGTACCCTTGTGCAAGTCACTTAACCTCTCTGACCCTCAGTTTCTTAGTCTGTTAAGTGAAGATACTCAAGGTTCCAAATTCGGTGGGACTATTGTGAGGATCAAATAATATAATGTATGTAAAGCTTACAACAATTAGTACTATCCCTTCTGGCACAAACAAGCAAGAAATACAAAAGTGTTACCACAATACCCATCTGATATGATACTGACATTACTACTAAAGGTTAAAGTGCCATCAAAATGCTTCTACCATAGTTAACTTCAGCAGTTTGGGTCCCAGGTTTGAGACCTGATGATTTGGGCACTTCCACTTAAAATAGTTGGAAGATTGCTCTGTTATTTAAAATGAATCATCCAGTACCTAAGAATTGTATCATCAAGTATATCAGCAGGCCACCAATACCCCAAAATGGAATAAAATCTTAGCTTTTTCCAGCAAAGTGTATCATTTTTTGTTTTGTAATTGTCTCACTTTCTTTCATAATCCAATGACTTCTCAAGGAGTCAGTTATCACACAACCTAACCACAACTCTGTCCAAACTCAGGAAAACTAAATGCTATTTAATTTTTTGCCTTTTATTATAAATATTTTTTACAAATCCTCTTCGTATTTCTTTCAGGTACTAATGTAGGTTTTTCGTAAAAGTAAAGTGGTATAACGTGAACTTTCACAAAGTAGGGGTTACGTGTTATATGCCAATGAGAAATCATTTCCCTTTGACTTGGCATCAGTGAGAGCTGAATCTTATAATTTATGCTGTCAATCCCCACTCTCATGTCCCAATGCAGAATTATTTTGATTTAAAGTAAATGTGGTACAGATCATTTGTAAGAGTACCTTTCTGTTCTGCTCCCTGATGGCATGTAATTTATCTTGGCCTGTCAATCCTTCTTCAATTCAGGCTATTTTATCATTTTCTTATCATATACAAATAAATTTGATCTGTTATTTTGCTCCACACTCTATACTTTGAAGCAGAGGAAGTGGAACAGATGGAGGACACTGCTGGTTCTCAAAACAAACTTTATTCAACGATGGTCACAATTCTGACTGTGTAGGTAATTATGAAGAAATAAAATAAATTGGAATTCAAGAAAGGAGTCTTCTACCCCCAACAAGTAGAGAGATAGTTCTAACACTTTCTCCTAACACTGAATACTTATATTACTGCTATTCTCTACTCTGCAGATCTCTTAAACGTTCTTATCTAAATTTATTCCTAAGCATTCTAATTTGTACTGCCATCAAAAAGAATGGAATACTTAGGAATAATTTAATAAAGACTGTTAAAGACTGTACACTGAAAACTATAAAACAACACTGAAGGAATTAAGGGAAACCTAAACAGATGACAGCACCTCCCAAACTGATACGTACAATTCTTGTCAAAATTTCAACTGCCTTTTTTGCTGAAAGGCTGAATCTGAAATTCAAATGAAATCACCAAAATCATCTTGAAAAAGAAGTTGAAAGATTGAAATGGAAGGCTTAATCAGGATACTTCTTGATTTCAAAACTTACTTCAGAGCACAGTCATGACAACTAATAAACATACAGATTAGCAAAACTGAATTCAGAGTCCAGATATAACACATATATATAGACAATTGATTTTCAACAAGGATGCCAAGGCCATTCAATGGTGACAGAATAATCTTTTCAGCAAATAGTGGTGGAACATCTAGAAATTACCCACAAAGAATGGAGCTGGATCCTTCCCTCACACCATAAACAAGTATTATCTCAAAATGAATTAAAGACACAACTGGAAGAGCTAAAACTCTTAGAAGAAAATATGAATATAAATTTTCAGGACCTTGGATCAGGCAACAGTGTCTTAAATATGACAACAAACATATAAGCAACAAAACAAAAACAGATAAGTCAGATGTCACCAAAAGTAGTGAAAAACCACCCACAGCCAAGGAAAAATATTTGCAAATCATACATCTGTTATAAGATTAATATCCAGACTATATAAAGAATGCTTACAACTCACAACAAAAGACAAAACAAAAACAACTGAAAATGGGAAAGGGTATGAATAGATATTTCTTCAAAGGAAATATTCAAATGGCCAATAAGCACATGAAATGATGTTCAACATTATTTGTCATTAGGGAAATGCAAATAAGAACCACAATGATCATCATTTCACACCCAGTAGAATGGCTAATGTTAAAAAAAAAAGTGATAGTGAGGATGTGAAAAAATAGGAACTCTTCTACATTATAAGTAAAAGCACAAAACAGTGCAGTTGCTGGAGAAGAGTTTGATAGTTTCTCCAAAAAATAAACATAAAATTACAATATGAGTCAATTATTCTATTCTAAGGTACCTATCCAAGAGAAATGAAAACATATGTTCAAACAAATAATTATACACAAATCTTCAGCAGCATTAATCATAATACCCATAAAGGCAACAAATAAAGGTCTGAATACATGCTATAGCATGGACTAACCTTGAAATTGCTAAGTAAAAGAAACCAAAAGAGAATACATATTATATGATTTCTTTACAAAATATGGGATAGAAAGTAGATTAATACATGTCACTTTGGATTGATAAAAATGTTCTATAATTGGGTTGTGGTGATGATTGCACAATTTTAATTTTATGACGTGAATTATACCTCAAGAATATGATACATATGATTTAATCAGTTAAAAATAAAACTGAGCAGATGTAAAAAGACCAGCTAACAGACCTCTGCAATAGTCTATCGAGTAATGATGCTGGCTTGGACATGAGCAGTGTTAGTAAAGACTATGGAGAAGGACGTGAGAGCAAAGGTAGGAGGGGGCCCAAAGGACTAAGATGAAGGGTTATTGGCCCTTTGGTGGTAGCCATGGTAACATACATTTGAAGAGGTGTGAACCTGTACTCCTAAACATATATGATGTTATAAACCAATGTTACCTCAATAAAAATAAGCCCAAAAGTAAATAAATAAAAAGAACATGCAGAAAGTAGAAAGATTTCAAAGACCTGATGATAACCCAGATGTGAATGATGAGGATGGAGCTGTATCAAGGAAGACTTGCATTACACTTTGACTTATTTGCTCTACTTCTACCAGAAGTTGTTCCAACATGGTTCATAAAGATGCTATCTGAAATGGTTCACAATTATGAGCAGAAGCCTTGACAGACTGGGTAAAGATTGACAGGGGGAAAGGAAAGGAGAGATCCTTGTAGGAACTAATAAACATGCGCGCGCGCGCGCGCGCGCGCACACACGCACACACACACACACACACACACACACACACACACACTCTCAAACAGAAAAAGGCAAAGCTTAGATGTGGCTGAAGGGAGAAGACACTGTGAAGGCCTGCCAGCTGTAAAGATTTGCTGGCAATAGACAGTCATGAAAGACTTTTAACTGAGCAGAGAAATTAAGTTTAGCCTTGAAACAAGGGTACTCCTCCTGGGCCTCCCCTGTGGCACAGCGGCTTGAGCGTAGTGCTGTGAAGCTGTCCATCAGCCTCTGCAGTGGTAGTTTGATCCCAGTCCGCAGGCGAGAATCCCACATGGTACACCAGACCTCTCCTGTCATGCCCTCTGCTCCCCTCAGCAGTGTATTTTCATCCTTCTGCCTGGTCTGCTCCCTGCTCTGTCTCTGGTGAATCCTCTCACTCTCCCGCGCCTCTGGCCTGAACTCCAGCTCTTGTATAAAAATAAATAAATCTTTTTAAAAAAAGAAAAAGGAAAAAAGGTTACTCCAGCACCAGTGCAAAGAATAAACTAGGAAGAATGAGCACAGATGAGCTGGCCTATAAAAGAGGATTTGCAGCAGACCAGGAGAGAGCTCTGATAAACCATCAGCAGAACATCTACTCTCAAATTCTAAATAGGGTAAAGAACAACAAACGGAGGAAACTTGGTTATATAACTATGCCTCTGCTACAAATTACAAGTATGGAACCCAGGCAGCAATGAGGGCTTGCTCACCTCCACCAACCAACAGAGACTCACGGGGATGAGAGCAGTCCAGGGCTCCTCTGACCCAGAATTCTCATAATCCCAGTAGGCTTTGAACTAGACTCCATGAGAAGCAAGGGTAGGAGGAAGATTCTTCCACCTGCAGTATCCTTGACCTCATGCTTCTCTTTGAAAGGATTACTGCTGGCTCAATGGTAAAGCAAAGCAAATCATAAATCATGTTAGCCAAGCCTGCATTGTCATTCTTGCCAATCCTCAAAGTTAGCTGGGTCAATTTACTTAAGAAACCATGATGTCCTAACAGCTGAATTTTACATTTAAGATAACTGGAAACATCTAGATTTATTAAATTATCTTGTATGCTCTAATTTCCTCTTTTAATCCATTTGAGTGTAACTTAAAATTTTTTAAACATTTTATGCAAATTTACTTTCAATTGCATTCATTGAAGTCATAAAGAAAAAATGCAGAATATGGTGCCTATTACTAGATGTATTTCAACCCCTTTGTACCTAATGTGCTGTAGATATACCTAAAGTAATTGAAATCCCAGAGACACTAAGCTTACTACTCAAAAGTTGGTGGTATTCACAATTGTAATCATGCCAATGCTAATCTACTTTGCAACTGAATTTCTCAATATTCTTCCTGTCATGCCACACTACAGTCACATTTGCCTTACATTATTTCCCAACACACCATGTATGCTCTGGTATCTGCCTAGAATAATCATGAAACAATTTTAAAAAATGAAGTAATTCATCACACCGGAGCACCCACAGTGAGCTAGATACTTCGTGGACAATTTGTATCAACAGCCTCATTTAATCTTCAGAACAGCTATACAAAGTTGGCATTATTTTTCCTATTAGACACTGAGAAAGTTGAGGCAGAGTATATGGAAGAACCATCACTAACGTGAAATCCCACTGCTTGTTAAGGCATGCCTTGAAACTGCTTTATCTGGCGAAACCCTAACTTGACCCTCAGAATCTCCTCCTCTCAAATCTTTCAATCTCCCCAATTGAACTGATCACACGCCCCTTCCAGGTAGTTCAGTACATTGTTCTTACCAAACTATTAAAGTCATCACTTTTTAATGACCACTTATCTTCCTCACTGTACTAGAAGCGAGACAGCAATCGTGACTTAACTCGTGTTGCCCTTCTTAACTCGTGTTGCCCTTCTACTTAACAGTATAAGGTGCTCGATAAGTGCACGACAACAATAATTGACACCTTTCATAAACCCATTAGCTTTACTCAACACTGCAGTGAAAGGAACTGAATATCAACAGTAATGCCTCCAAATCTGCCCCTTCCTTCATAGCCCTTCCTCCTGCACTACAGTATTGCTAATGCATCTGTCTCCTCCCACTTAGGTAGCTCAAGGGCAAGATCAATATCATCCACATTTGTGTCCCCAGGGCTTAGTACGGTAAAGGAGAGGCCCAAATAATGCCCAAAAAATGCTTAACTAAAGTGAAATACTCCCCCAAAATAAACTCTATGATATAAAACGAGCAGAAGGGGAAATTATTCCAGCTGACCAGATTTAAAGATTCTCCAGAAGTGCATTCTCATAGCAGCTGCTTAAACTCTCCCCCTGATATCCGAGTTGACAGAAAGCAATAACAGAGCAGGACCAAAACCTGTAAGCGAACACACACACCGGGTTTGTTGACCTTGGCTTGTCTAGAGATGAGGGCAAACTGCGTTTCAGTCTCCAGCGCTGCGTGGGGTCACTTTTACAGGTAACCTGCTCGATAGTACACCTTTAGGCACCAAGGAGGATCAATGCTGTGGTGGGGGGAAGGGAGGAGCCTCGATCCCAGCCCCCAGCTGACACTCGACCTTGCGGACCTTTCCAGGTCAGGCAGCCGCAGGCGCCGCGACCCTCACCTCGGTTCTCCTCCTCCAGGTATCTCACCCGCAGCTCGTCCTCCGTCTTCGCATCAGAGCTGTAGCCCCTCCGCGGGGCCGCCATCCCGGCAGCGGGCGCCCAGACCCGGGCCCAGATCTCCGGACCGACCCGCGGGCTTGTCAAGGAGCCGGACATCCTCCACCCGGGGCCAAGCCGTGCACAGCAAGCGGCCACCCAGCGGGCGCGGCCGGCCTGCAAGGACCCCAATGCAACCGGCGCCGCCGCCATGTTGTCTGTTTACGGCGTGGGTCAGCGGCTGCCGCCCCGCCCCCGCGCACGCACGCCGCACGCACGCCCCCGGCCCCGCCCCTCGGCCCCGCCCCTCGGCCTCTCCCCTCCCTAGCCTGGGGTCTGGACATTCCAGTTTCCACTTGTTGCACTGGCACGAGGTGTCATGACCGGTACAAGCAAGGCGGAGAGAAAGTAGTTCTTCGAGGCTGTAAAATAGTTTAGGGGCACATATTTATAAGAACTCCCCAGAAGACTGTGCCCTGGGATCCTGTGTTAGATGCAAAGGTGAACTGCAATGTGTGGTCTCCTGCTTGGCTGTCAGTGCAGTAGCTGGACTGGGTTACTGGTGAAGTCGTTGTTAAATATTCCTATAATCATATACTATGCTTACTATATGGAGTTCAGGAAGGGAGTACGAATAGCCGAAATGATAAGGGATCCTCTGCATAAAATAAGTCCTGGGGCTGAAATGCACAGCATGGGAACTATAGGTGATAATATTGTATTGCATATTTGCGAGTTGCTAAGAAATAAATCTTTAAAGTTCTCCTTACAGGAAAAAAATGTGTGGCTATATTTGGTGATGATGTTAACTAAACGTGGTCATTTCAAAACATACAAGTCATGTTGTGAACCTAAAATTAGTATGTTATATGTCAACTGGATCTCAATTTCTTTAACTATAAATAAATCTTAATTGTTTCAACAGAATGGACCGGGGTCTTCCACCCATCAACTCAAGCAGGTGAATCCCAGTCATCACCATTCACTTGTATTAGTCAGTAATTGCTTTGATATCTTTCTGTTGGCTCATCAATAGATTGTAAATTCAAATAATGATGCTACAGAACCCCTCACAAAGTGCTGTTTAAAATAACAACCTCAGAAAACACTTGTGCTTGATGAGAACTAGGAGCAAAAAGATAATCATAAGTTGTCTGGGTTATAGGAGAAAATAGAACAAGAAGGACAGCTCGTGATTTTAATGAGTACAGAGCGTGATAAGAAAACAACATAAAGTCGCCATCCTCTTCCTTCGTCTTTGTTGAAAGCAGTCATGAGTGGATCCCAGTCTGTGAAGAAAACGGATTCTTAAAAAACTAATGCAAATATCACCATGACTATTACATCTACTCAGGAATGACAACTAATTGAGAACTGTCCAAAATCAGGTTTGACAGGCATGACTTTGGATCCCATTCCCTTAATTGTTTTAAGACAGCCATAATTTAAATTAAAGTTATTTGAATACTCTGTGCTCTCATTTCTTCATTTGCAAAAGAGTCAGTGTGCTATTTCACTTCGGGAATTCTTTATCTTCAATTTCTTCACCTATTAGATGGAAAGGATTATGCCCATTTTACAGGGTTAATAAGATAAATACAAAAAGCACTTGGGACCAGGAGATGGAAGCAGGATAGATAATAATATCTACCACTTATCAATTTCCTTAGTATATTCCAGACATTTAGATATGTGATTTTATTTACTATTCGGAAAGCTCTGAAGTGGGTGATTACCCCATTTTGCAGATGAGAACAATAAGATCAAGTTTCTTTTTTTTTAAGGAAACGTATTTTTTTTAAAGATTTATTTATTTATAAAGAACCGGGGTGTAGGCCAGATGCGTGGGAGGGTGAGAGGATTCACCAGAGACAGAGTGGGGAACAGAACAGGCAGACTGACTGAAATACACTGCTGAGGGGAGCAGAGGGCGAGACAGGAAAGGTCGGCCTCCCCATGTGGGACTCTTGCCGGGCCGGCCAGGATCGAACCTACGCTGCAGAGGCTGCTGACAGGCACAGTGCAGCACTCAACTGCCTGTGCCACCAGGGAGGCCCAAGATCAAGTTTCTTTACCGAAATTAACAGCAAGTAATGGAACTGAAATTGAACCCTGATGTACTGACCCCAATCCCAATGTTACTAATCACTGACTTTCACAATAAGTATTAAAATGTCTAATAAAATTTGATTCCCTTTGGTTCCTTTTGCTTTTCAGCAATGAGCCAGGAGCTAAGAATTCTAACAAGAACAAAAGGTGTTTGGGAGAGGAAGTGTCTGGAGTATTGTGCCACAATTACTATTTCTACCATCTGTTTCCCGGACTTGGCACCCTTGCCTGTATGCCCTTGATGTTTTTGTCATGTATACTTCTAGGTCATATTAAACATGTGCAATACAGAATGGCAAGCACGGAGTTCCTGAAGACAGACAGCCCTGAACAGAAGTAATCCCTCCCACAAGACAGTTCTATGTATGAGGACATGTGTGTCACTGGTAAAATAAAAGTTACCAACATGTTACCAACCACAAGTGCATAGAGGAAAATAGCTGAACAAGAAGAAGATGAAGCAGAACTCTGGACTTCTTGATAAGGAGAGTATATTTGAAAACTATTGTGCATGAAACAATCAAAAAGAAAGTATAAATTAGTCTCAAAATAAAAATCTCAAAATTTCTTTGGAATGCTTTTCAACTCTTTGGTCAAATATCTTCTTTTCAAAGTCTTCTCTAGGTTTCACAGTGGATTTTCTCTCCAGAACGTCTCCTTTTCTGACTAAACTGAGCATTCGGCTCCAAGAGGCAGGGATCGGTTCTCAAACCCAGAAAACCCACCTCCAGACTCTTGGAGTTAACAGGAAGCCACCTCAAGGATCTTATCACCAGAGAACACATATGTAGAACATGAATAATAATATGTATGTAGAATAGGTTATCTAGGGGACACCCTCATTCCCTCTGCCGTGAAGAGAACCCCTTGGTTAGACACTGCTCTCCATCCCCCACCAAGATCACATAGGGCCCATCGATAACTACCTACAAAGCAGGCTGAGCACCCACTCACCTAGCGTAGTGCCGCACAGACTAGGAAAGCAAGTTTTAAATTGCTGAGAGTTACAGACCTAATAGGTCACAGAGCTGGATCTCAAAAGCTCCACTCATAACCTGAGTATTTTTTTTTATCTGTTAATTTTTATTGAGTAACTTTGGTTTACAATGGTGCATATGATTTAGAGGTATAGGTGCACACCTCCTCAGAAGTCTGTTACTTCAGGGCCTCCCCTGGTGGCGCAGTGGTTGCGAGCTGGGCTGAGAAGCTGCTCGCAGCCTCTGCAGTGCCGGTTCGATCCCCAGCCACCGGCAAGAGTCCCACATGGTGCGCAGACCTCTCCTGCCGCCCACTGCTCCCCTCAGCAGTGTACTTTGGTCCTTCTGCCTGTTCTGCTCCCTGCTCTGGCTCTGGTGAATTCTCTCACCCTCCCACGCTTCTGACTGTACCCAGTGCTTGTATAAATAAATAAATAAATCTTAAAAAAAAAAGAAATCTGTTACTTCAGAAGTCCATAAAAGGGGGAGAAGCATTGAAACACGGTGAACTGGCACCATTCTCCCCGCCACCACTTACATGTAGCCACCTTGGACTATCTGCTGGGACTGAGGGGCAGAACTGCACGGCCAGGTGACAGAGAAGGCAGGTGAGCCAAGAGAAAAATGCTCTTACTTCTGGACCTGACTTATACCCTGGCACTGCCGGAAAGGAGACATGGAAGGAGACATGGAGAAGAGACATGTAGAGACAATTGAAAGAGACACATGCATTAGAGACACATGGGAGGGCTGTACTTGGCAGAGACAATGGCTGCTGTTGTCTTGATTGGTATTTTCACCTCTCTCCTTCTGTCCCAGACTTGCCTGGCCTCTCCCACCCCCTTCCTGTGGTTCCCTCCAGAAGGTGCCTTAGATTTGTGGCAAACTTTCTGGCCTCAGCAGCCCTGCTTTAAGATTGCCCTGTATGGGCATCTGCCCACAAGGAGGATGGGTAACTTTTGGGTGTTTTCCTGGGAAACTAATATGCTCTCTTTTCTTCAGTCTCTGTGCATACTAGTTCTATTAAAACTCTTTCCTACTAAGGGTCTGCTTCCTTTGTCTTTATGTGACAGATGGCCTGTTTTACAGTGTGCGTCCCTTAAATTTGGGGTACATGGTGGTCCTTCTGTCCTACACTAACATTACCACCCAACACCCACCACAAAAGCACCCATAATCCTCCACCCCCCCCCACCTCCCACACCACCCCCTCTTCAGTGACCCCACCCACCCTCCATTCCACACCCTCTCTCTTTCCTGTTGGGGAGGTTTAGGCTGAAAACATCCATAAAAATTCTGATATTGGAGAACAACCACATTGCTCTTTGCCTCTTCTTACAGCCCTCGGAGTTATAGTGTCTCCCTCCTACCCCTCAGAAGGTGAAAGTGTTACAGGGCAGCCCTGATACAAAACGGGTTGCCTGGCTGTGGATCCTCACCTGCACGTTTAAAAGGACTTATCAATACTCTACTGCAGGCACACACGAAAGGTTGATAAAAGGTTTATTTACAAGGGAAGGGCAAATGAGGAAATGTACAGCTCAGGGAGAAAAGTGGGAGACAAAGTTTTCAGTGCGTCCTACCCTATCCGCCGATCTGGAATCCCAAATGGCACTCTGAGAGCTGGCCGCGAGCCAGGAGCCGTGAAGCCAGGAGGCGAGTGAGAGAGCAAGAGAGCGAGCCCCCCAAGGCCCACGTGTTTGGTTTTTTATACCCAACCTGGCTGCTTAACTCCACCCTCAGGTCCCAGCCACCTTCCCCTTGGTGGTGACGGGATTTTTCTTTCCCAATGTCCTGATGGCTTTGGTCTGGTGTGGGGGTGGAGTCCACAAAGCCTGCATGGAATTAGCTCAGGACATCCTTTCCCCCTAACAAAAGGAGGCCCTCCTCTGTCGGTGTACCTGGGAAGGGTCGATTTCAGCCCCTCTGTTCGTGGTCTTAGAGTTCATTGACACTTTTTCCCTATGTACTTTTCTGGGGGTGGGAATTTTATTCTGCCCTTTCAATCAACCATCCTTGTGGAATAAAGAGGTCTAAAGAGAATGTAGTAGTCAGTTCAGGCTGCTATAACGAACACCGCAGCCTGGGGCAGAAGTCCAGGATCATGGTGTCGACATGTCTCATTTCTATCTCCT